TTGGAGTTTTGTTCGGTTCTATTTATCAACAATTGATTTGAATATTTTTGCGTCCTGGAATATTTGCGGCGGTAGAGAAATATATAGTTTAACGTATTAGCATTGTACGAAGATTCAACACACAAGCAGATGAAAGAGATAGCGTAGCGTTCATAAGAGACATCAGAGTTTTTACGTGGAAACCCCTGAAAAGGGGGAAAACCACAGGGCCTGGCCCAATTTTAATGAATCCGCTAGTATTTACGGTCAATTTTAAACGAGGCCCTTCCTTGGGAGAAGGCATCACTACAGGAAAACCCCTTATTACCGGCGGACAAATCCGCCGGAAATATGAGAAATTCGACGGAAAATATAGTTTTCGGCGCATGTTTCGGCGTATATTTATCCGCCGGTTTAAGTCGCGTTGATAATTTATTTCCGGCGCATGATATGCGCCGGAAATTTCTCCGGCGCAGTTTCCGACGAAGTACCGGCGAAAAAACGGATTATTGCCGACGTAAAAAAACGTCTTAATTCCGGCGCCATATGCGCCGGTAATTAGCGTCGCATTATGCGCCATATGCGCGAGTAATTTCCGTCGGTAACTTTACAGCGTATTTTGCGCCGGAAATGGCGCTGCAAGATTTTTGTCGAACAATTCCGCTGTTGCCTGCGCCGTTATTACCGGCGCACAATTTTCCGCTGGAAAATCCGACGGTAATCGCGTGTTTTCCCGTAGTGCATTGACTTGAAGTCACAAATGTAAATCATATAGAGCGCATTACATGGTGGGAGTTACAATAATCAACATAGACATGTTTGTTTGGTCGGTAGGACCATTGTCGATAGGATAGAGGTCGGAAAGACTATAGTACGCGACGGAGGTTGGAAGGACCGTAGTCAGTAGGAGACAGGGGTCAGAATAATCGTAGTAGTTGGGCAGTACTCTGGTAGAAGTCTGATAGAAGTCGGGTCCTCAGGCTGTACTCCGGCAAAAGTTCGGGCCTTAGGTGGTGGTCCGGAAGAAGTTCTGGCCTCAGGTGGTGGTCTGGCAGAAGTTCGGGCCTCAGGTGGTGGATCGGCAGAAGTTCAAGCCTCAAGTGCTGGTCCGAAAGAAGTACGAGCCTCAAGTGGTGATCCGGTAGAAGTCCGGGCCTTAGGTGGGGGTCCGGCAGAAGTCCGGGCCTCAGGTGCTTTTCTGGTAGAAGTACGGGCCTCAGGTGGTGGTCTGACGGAAGTCCATATAGTGGTCAAGGAGGCAAGGAAGAAGGAGTGATCTCCGATCTCTATCCTTTTTCCTTAGCAAGAGGTGGGTGTGCGCTTTATTTATAGATTTCCTAGAATGGCATGGCCCGTAAATAGGAGGAAGATCAAGTGTAATTGGGGAGTGGTTTAGATGGACGGCCGATGTTGAATCCCTTGATCATGGACCGTTTTATGGACATTTGAATGTCTTAATGATATCAAAATTTAGCTATCTTAGGCTCATTGGATTTGTCTCGTCAAGCTGCTCGATTCGACTATAAGCATGTCACATTTGGAAACCGTTTGGTAATCCAAATTGTCGTTGATTTGGACCCATTTGGGCTCGGATTGAGTTGAATTTGGTGTCGTTGGGTTTGTATTTTTGTGACGTTCAGTTCAACTATAAGTTTGCTGAAATCAGAGATCAGATTGTCCCGAATTTAATTTTTGAAGTTCCCAACTTGATTTTGCCTTGAGATTCGTGTCTGATCAAGATAATTTTTTGATGACGTATCAAATAGAAAAAAGCTCGAAATTTTTAATAAACTTGAACTTTTTGTGCTGATTTTTAAACTAATTATTTATCAAAGAATTATAACTTGTGTTTTTTCTCTTTCTTCTTTTTCCTGCATTTTCAAACACATAAGCATAGGAATATCAATGCTTTCAATATGTATAAAAAGTATCTACCATATCATATAATTATACAAATTTTCATATGCACAACAAATAGTCGGGTTTCACGAGGATAAACTTCTACAAATACTTGAACAATTACAAATTATGAAACTATTCACATGCAATATTCACAACAACATTTTGAAAGTTTTATCATTCTATAGAAATTTCTAATAGTGTTAATATATTTGTTAAAATGCTGAAAATGTCATATGACGAGAATGTCCGATGAAAATTTAATTTATACATATTAATATGATCAGAATACTCTGTTCTATAATATATTAAAAGTAACATTATGAAGGTTTTCCTAATCTTCAAAAATCTGAATTTGTTCGAAATTTAACCAAATATAACACCAAAATTTCACAAAGAGCCTCAAAATTAAAATATAAAATAGGATAACACTAACTTACCTCAGTTTGAACAATATTTACAACTATCTCGACATACAAAATAGGCTTTAATTAAGACCTTCGAAAATAGTCTCTCTCTTTCTCTCTTTCTTCTATTTATCTTCTCCTTTTCTCCTGACCAAGGAAACTAAAGAAACAAATAATGAGTTTGTGAAAGTGGACTTAAATATTTATATATAATATTTTACCTATCCACGTAGCGGTATGCTGCAAACCAGAACTCTATCAAGAAAACAACACTGCATCGCCAACGCTATAGATCACTTTGAAATGTCTAATATATTATGGACTAAACTTCCTTTTTTTTTACCAAATTTGCTCACATCATTCAAAAGGAAAACTTTCGAAAGTATAAAGTCTTGCATTTGAAATTTAACTACGCAATGCTTCAGATTATAATCCTTTCTCAATATATCCAATGTTGCTCTCAGTCTATCCATGATCAATCTAATCTTTTTAGTGGCATAATCCACTAATTTAGAACCCATCAATCTTCTCTCCCCCGCTTCTATCCAGGACAAAAGGTCTCCTACTCCTACCATATAACATTTCATATGTTGACATATCAATATTGGGCTAAAATTTATTATTTTAAGTAAATTCAATTAAGGGATTACATTCCTCTAATCTTCCTCCAAAATCAAGTACGCACATTCTTCTATTTATCTTCTCCTTTTTCTCCTGACCAAGGAAACGAATGAAACAAATAATGAGTTTGTGAAAGTGTACTTAAATATTTATATATAATATTTTACCTATCCACGTAGTGGTATGCTGCAAACCAGAACTCTATCAAGAAAACAACACTGCATCGCCAACGCTATAGATCACTTTGAAATGTCTAATATATTATGGACTAAACTTCCTTTTTTTTTACCAAATTTGCTCACATCATTCAAAAGGAAAACTTTCGAAAGTATAAAGTCTTGCATTTGAAATTTAACTACGCAATGCTTCAGATTATAATCCTTTCTCAATATATCCAATGTTGCTCTCAGTCTATCCATGATCAATCTAATCTTTTTAGTGGCATAATCCACTAATTTAGAACCCATCAATCTTCTCTCCCCCGCTTCTATCCAGGACAAAAGGTCTCCTACTCCTACCATATAACATTTCATATGTTGACATATCAATATTGGGCTAAAATTTATTATTTTAAGTAAATTCAATCAAAGGATTACATTCCTCTAATCTTCCTCCAAAATCAAGTATGCAAAACCTCCATAAATCCTCAAACAGTACTTATATAGTCCTCTTAGACTGACAATAAGTCTGTAGTTGGAAAGCTATATTGAAATTCAATTTTTAGACTTCAAACTCTTCTGAATACATCTCCATAATCGGGTGGTTAACTTGCCATTCCAATAATCAAATAAAATTCTATAGGATTGCTTATTGACAAAGACTACATACATATCACAACATCGGGTGCATCCCGAGCCTCATGTTGAGTCAAGCTATATATACTCGGGATTATGTTCGAGTAGCAACAGACTTTCTTTGGGCCCCTCTTTAACTATCACTTTACAACCTTCCACCTCCTCTACTTGCTACTTGAAAAGAAAGTATTCTGCTCAGTCTCTAGACGTAGTTATATGTCCGGAGTTCAATACAACGTTGACACGTGTATTTATAATATTTATCACGTGCCTTTTTCAAATTTCTCCTACCCCGTGCTAGCAATCATGCATCTGCTCTCCTCTAACATCAGATCTCAGTTATGCATCCTGAGAACTGTCCTGTAAACAAATAATAGATAATTTTGATTGTTTTGATTTTTAATAAATTTATTTTATAATTTATTTATAAGTATATTTTGGATTAATATTTTTATTAAATTGCTTTGATTAAGTTCTTATTAGCACGTAATTTAGAATTTTAATAATTTATTAGAAAATATAAAGATGAAAGTAAGAGATGATAAAAAATTCACTTGCTTGCCAATTAAAAAATTGTTTTTGGATAATTTAAAGCAATAAATTATAGGCATATAGTTTATAATAATAATAGCAATAACAATTTTTATTGATGATTTAATAAAGATAAAGAACTTTGCCTATTTAATTATATCAACTTTTAAGATTTAGATATATGTTTTAATATTTAAGTATATTCATATTTTCAAAACTTAACTATGGTAAATATTAAACTTAAATACTCTAAATGTTGCACAACATGTGGATTATTAAAGAGTGTATATTCTTGAAAGAATTTGTGAAAGAATAGTGCTATGTAAATAATTATTCTTAAAAAAAACGTCTATTATTTAAATTTAAATAAATTTGTAGAAATATCTTAGGTAAACTTTGATATATATATATATAAAGGTTTTACAACATATGGATTATTATATTTATATTCTTGATGTTCTTGCCTAAAAATTACATCATATTTAGGCTTCAATTAAAACTGCTTTCTTACTGCTTCTTAAAGCAATTTTTTAGTATCAAATTTTTAATTTGTGTACTAAAAAGCTGTTTTAAGAAACAGTTAGAAATCTGTCACAAACAAAGCCTTCATTTTGTAAGCATTCTACACAGGTAAACCTATGGCTAAATCATTTGTTGGTACAAAGCTTTATTTATAAGGCACAAATTATATCACCATTATATAGTTCCTAACTCCCTACACTTAAATAAGAAGATGAGATCATTACAAGTTGAAAACAGAACAAAAACATTAATCAGAAGAATTACTTCAACTTTCTCATTCAAAAGAACAAACTGCGTCAGTATTTCATACAACCTTGGAAGAGAAATCTTAGAATTTCTTCAACGTTCCAAATCTTTAAGAAATTTAACTGGCAAAATTGAACCTGCAGAGTCGTAAAGCATCAGAGCCGCACAGCATTCCCAGTTCCTTGTGTTGAGAGTGACTGCAGAGGCTTGCTATACAATTTTTTTGTCAGAGGATTGTGCAGGAAGAACATCTGTTCGTCTTTGGTGCCTTCACCAATTGCTTTTCTGCAAGTTGAAAATGGCAAGTAGATGAAGAATGAGTAACAAGTAATTAGTATTCTATGTTTTGCATTTGTTAGAAATAAAGAACGACCTGCTTTCTGAATGATTAGAGATATCTAATGACATTAAAGAAGAAACATAAATCGGATAGATAGAATACCATTGTTTTTATCAGTAGTAGTAGGCCTCACCACTAGGTGCATTGTAATTACGCTTTCAGGAAGCTCCCCAACTGGTACCCTGGACTCTGCAAGTGTTCGATTATTCTCTAAAACTCTCCCAGCATTTATCAGCTTCAAATCATTTATTGTCTTTGGAGAAATTTCCTTACCTATCAACAAGTAAGTATAAAATTCGAAAGTGTAGAACATATATGCCAACTGCAAAAGAACTTTGAAGATAGTGGTGCTAGACTAGATCTTGGGAAAAAATATCACCAAAGTACAAAGCTGAAACAAAAAGGGCATAAAAGAAAAGACTAATAACACTCAAAACTATTTTTGGTATCATTAAAGTTGCTAAAGAAATAGATTCCTTAGTAGCATTCTGAACAAGGAATATTATAAGATATGAAAAAGACGAATCCATTGGACCGGTCTAGTCGGTCCGACAGGACCAGTTTACGCAGACAGAGGCGGACTTTTCCGCCTCCTGTACGCACCGAATGCACGCACGGCGTCGTGCGTCAGCTATTTAGGAAGGATTTTTGAGGGAGTTAGGAGGGAAATTTGAATGTAGGGAGTGATTAGGGATTTTCTTTTGATTTGTATGCATTAAATAGTTTGTATTCCTAAGATTAGTACATCTGGAATTTGGTTGAAATTTGAGATCTCTAAGGCTTAGATTTTTCTTGGGCTCTAGCGGCGTCTAGAGATTTGGGAGAGATAGATCCTTCTCTCGAATAGAGGATCAACTATGTCTTGGCATTTTCCATTTCATTTTATCAAATAATACAAATAATCTAATGTTTTCGCGGTTTTGTGTGGATTTTTTATGAGTACTCTCGCTGTTTTCCAATATTGATAGAAAGTACTTGAGATCTACAAGTGTTTCCTGTCAAATTCCTCTAGTTATCTTAGGATAAAACATTATGTTGTTTATATGGTCTATTCTGATCTATCAGCTACAAATTTTAAGAACACATTTCGAAGGACCAATCAAAAGAATAACTAAAAAGAATAAATGAATTAAAATTCTACCATACTTTGTCGTCATTATAATCACAAAGCAAAAATTTAGACAACTGATAATTGAGAATAAGTGTTGAATTTCATTTAAAATCGCTTTTAGCATAAGATTTCACCAATGACTACTAACAATTCAATATATGTCACTTCTCTTAAAAACCCATAAGTATATTTGCTGCGGCATAGTTGAGTCAAATATGGGAGTGACCAGGCCTGACTCAACTACAATGGCTCATCAAAGGTCTGCATAATTTCAGGAGAAAGTAGCTCAGGGTCAGAATGTTATATTGTTGATTTCATGCCCTTACTAATGTTGTCATGTCTGCAATAATTAGAAACTAAAATGTTTACATCCAAGAATGCCTTATTCATCAAGGATAGTTATATTTTCATCTGCTGTTTGCTTGCTGATCAGTAAATCTCAGTAAGAGACTTAACATCCCTAGAAAAACAGAGAAAATATTTTTATAAAAAATAATTGTTGCATGTGATACAAGGTAAAATAGGTAGAGTGGAGTAAATTGTAGCAAACTTAATAGCTTAAAGGAAGAATAGTAGAAGGAAACGAATAAAAAAATTGGAATAATAATGCAATTCTATGATCATAGTTTCCCTCTAACACTGCATCTCAATCCACGCCATTTTTTTACCCTTATTGAGATGTCGTTGATGTGTCAAAATTATATGGTTGTATGATAGAACAGTAAAAAAAAATTGAAGTGACCAAAGAGTTTCATCACTTTAGGAATTCATCTTATATTAAATATATATCATTTTGTATTAGTTATGAAGGTGTTATTTGCATATTATTATAGTTAAAATAGATGTAACTGAAATATTAGAGTAATTGAGAAAAATTTAGAAGATAAGAAGCTTAAAGTTTGTACAATAAATATTGAGTACATGGAATGTAATTTTACTTGGACATAAAATAAATATTTTTGGAATATCACATTATAGCTACCTGTAAAGATATAAGTAATTTAAATCAATTATACAAAAGAGTGATAGATGATGAGGAGAGAAATTTTAGAGTTGAAATTGGGTGGTTAAATAGAGGAGTCCCTTAAGAGCACTACCTAAAAAATGAGAATATTATGGGGACTAGAATATAAAAGGGATAAATTTCATCAAAATCCAAGCTGACTCGCAATGATATAAAGATTTGTGAGTTGTCTGATTGTAAGAAATGAGAGAATTATGTTGGAGGAGGATTCTTGAGCTCTTCTTGAGCTTCTTGCAAGAGAGAGGGATAGAGAGAAGGGAAGAGAGGGAGAGATTTTAGAAGGAAAATCTTCCTAAAGCTTTATTTCAATTTTCACCAAATTATATACCAATCTATAATGCTATTTATAGGCATTTACAGGAGTTGGATAGCTTGCGGATCAACCTAAACCTAAAACCGGAGCAATACACAACATTGGATGTATGGCAAAAATAGAAAAATGATACATGATTATGAAAGAGAGGCGGACTTAGTAACATTTATTGAGTATACATTTGTATAAAATAGATTTCATTGAGTGTTCACATGCCAAAAACAGATTAGTTTAAGAACATTGAATAACATGCTACTTGGACTAGCAATTTTGACAAGTTTATTGAATAGGAATGCCTGGCGAAATTACAAGAGCTTGGAATGAGAGAGTGGATCTCATGACCCGTTACTATATACGCTGCCCCAACAAAACAATTTGGATTGCTTCAGGGAGTAAAGCTTCCTACATATCTATCACAGAAAGATAAGATGTAAAGCAAACAATTAACCTTTAAATAGAATGAAGGATGCAGTTAAAGAAAAGTGAAGTTCTATAAATATTCTACGAGAATTCCACTTCTCTCCGGGCGTTCAGATTGGATGATTTGTCATTAGAACAAGTTCATGTAAACTAAAATTTCAATAAAAGCTACAGGGCCTGAATCACAGTAAGATAAATAGTAACAGAACGTCAACGAGACTTGGAGAAAGAGCAAAAATCAGACTTATCAAAGAAAGCCAAAACTCAAAAGTTCCATCAACGAAATCAATCAAACAAAATAATGACCTAATTGAGAAAATGGAGTAAGCGAGGAAACTCACGCCAAGAACAATAAATTCATTAACTCACCTGCCGGCCATATATTCAATATGTTTTTCTTGAGAGATTCCACCGTTGTAGAAAGATCGTACTTATTGGGTCCAATATCAGTACCATCTAAAAGCCTAAACTTGAGCTCGATCAAATCATCGCCAGCCATCTCAGAAATAATACCATAAAACAAACGCAGAACTCCTCCCTTATACTCTTACGAGCTCAGCTGAGTTTCAGAGACTGCCGCAGAATAAAATTTATTCTGCACCCAAAAACCAGTAGAGTTCGCTGGATTTGTGACTACATGAGAGTATGATTAATGATAGGATTGCTATTGAATCCGCGGGGAAATCGCAGTTGATAGATTCAGACGACGAAGGAAGGAGACTGCACACGGATGAGAATTTACCGATGTTTGCTAGGAAAGTTGGGATTGGGCAAAAGGAATTTATTTTTATTTTTAAATTTTGAGTGATGTTGAAGAAATTTTGATTAATATACGGGCTATGCCCAAATTTTCTAAAAAAAAAAAAAGAAATTTTGAGCTGGCACCAACACGGACTATAGATTTTTTTTTTTATATATATAAATGCTAAATACAGCTCTTCTTCAATATTATGACCCAGCATCTTTTAAATTTTTTAATAACTAAATTAACTGGCACTCATAGGCTCACAGCGCCGTAAGGACAGGATAAAGCTCTGGAAACAACAAAGATGTAGCTAGCATTCGTGGCCGCTTGATTTATCTGTGGTTGAAGATTTCGCTTTCATAAAAATTAATATAAACTAAAGTTATGTAATTGTATGTGTGTGTGTATATATATATATATATATATATATATATATAGAGACAGCTAA